TTTAATAAATAATGGACGCCCTACGACATAATTAAATAACTTACTTGATTTAATTTCTTTGAATTATTTTTTTTTCTGATCAAGTCCAGTGTTTAACACTGTGTCCTTAAGACAGATTCGTCCTCTCTACGGTGCTTTCAGAATTTGGACGTCTATCTCCCAGGATGAAATGATCTTCCACAAACAATAGCAGCACTACTAATTGTTTGCCTTACGAACACACTAAGTGTTTACACTATTTCTTTCGGAAATAAAATGCAGCAAGATGAAGAATATAATTTGCAGAGGATGGAGTACGAAAAATTTGTGTGTAAAATCCAAATGGGAGGCTAGTCTATTTATAGATGTAAACAGGTATGAAACCTGTTATAAATCAAACAGATAAAAAACGGGAAGGGCTCTGTTTGGATGAGCAATAAATCCAAACCAGTTTAATTCTGGGGAAGGGCTCTGTTTGGATGAGCAATAAATCCAAACCAATTTAATTCTGTTTGAAAACGGGAAGGGCTCTGTTTGGATTTACAGAAAATCCAAACCAGTTTAATTCTGTTTGAAAACGGGAAAGGCCCTGTTTGGATGTACAGAAAATCCAAATCAGTTTAATTTAAATTCTGGATTTTATTTTACCAAAAAATAAAATTAAATTCAAATGTTTTTGGCCCAAAAAGATTAGAAGCCCAACACAACCACGCACCCGCGCCCAGCCCGGACGGACGGCGGCGCGCACGTGTGTGGTGATTTTTGGGTCCAATGGGTCTAGCCCATTTTGCCCATAATCTCTCCCTCTAAAACACTTGGGTACCCCTTGGGGCACACCCCAAGTATCTCACCCTAAGCCTTATAAACCCTTTCAAAACTTCCCACCAAATCATTGTGGGACAAGTCAATTTACAACCTTAAGGAATTTTCACCATAACTCCATTTTCTTGGAGCACACTTTGGCTTCAATTTCCCATTCACTCGGTAATGGTTTTGAGCAACCAAATATACCACGTGAATCACAACGCGACATAGAACGCGTTACCACTTTGACCCGAGTAAATCGATGCTCGGGGCCCACCTAAAAAATAGACCAAACTTGAGAAAAAATTCTGATTTTACTCAGAATTTTTCTACCATTTTCAACATTAAATAACATTGATGTTATTATTTTATATTATTATATAATGTGAATATGTTTTTAATTGACAACACATTAAAAATAATGTAAACATTTTCTCTTATCTGATGTGAACGTTCACAACACCTTTCTGAAAAATTCTCTCTCATCTAATATAGTGATGTGAATGTTCACAATATGTGAACTTTCTTATTTTTAATTGACAACACATATTGACAACACAATAATAAAAATTCATTTCAAATTAATATATCTTAATACATGAGATCTACTAAAACATAATGACAATCAATATTAAATATCAACATTAATAGGAGATAAGAGAGATTGAGGAGTTTTGGTCTTTTTATTTTAAATAAAATCTAATGAAATAGTCAAAAAAATATATAAGTTAGGTCGAATAAAATTCTTAAAAAGAGAATTATAAAAAAAAAACTTCCTTTAAATTTCATTGGTTGTTAATTTTTTTTTTAAATTTTAATTAAAGTATCAATTATATTAAATTTAAGTTTATTGAGTGTATTAGAAAATTCAAGAGCTCAAAAGGTCAAACATCAACCCCATTTGTCGGAAAGAACTCCACTTGTTTCCAACCTATAGAGTAAGGCCGGTATTGCAAAACGCGATAGGTTTTCGTTTTACACCAAAACTCCTTAGGAAAAAAGTCAAAACAACAAAGACAAACACACCGGTTCTATATCTTGTTTAATAACAACAACAACAACAACAACAATAATAATAACAATATTACCAACGTTAATTAGTATACTCATTTTGTCTCAAAATATTAGTGTTATTTTTGAAAAAATTAATTTTTTTTTATAATACAGTTATTACATTTTAAAAATAATAACTTTTTAAAATTATATTTTAATAGTACAATTACTACACTTCAAATAATATTAAAGAATTTAAATAAAGGGCAAAATAAGAAATTCATGTAATTTTAGTTCTTGATTTTTTAATAAAGACTAATATTTTAAGATAATAAAAAATAAAGTAAAAGACTAATATTATAGGATGGACAAATCAATGACCTTGTTTGGTATAATTTATTATAAATTAAAAATTAATAATCAAAAAATAAAAGTTAAAAGAATTCTTCTTCTAATTTCTAGATAATAAACCCTTATAGTTTATTTAATTTATTTTTACCTAACAAATCATTAGCATAAATTGTAGAGCATTTGCTCTGACTTTAAATAAAACTCTCGAGAGTGGGCGGTGAGATTGGTCACCCGAGATTAGTCAAGATGCGCATAAATTGACTTGAACGTCCGGTTATAAAAAAAAAAAATCATCATTACTTCTTATTTAATGGGTAAAATGGTAAAAAGCATAAACAATCAACAACAAGATTATGGGTAGTTCTAAATGCACCCCATTTTTCTTTGGTTGGACACCTCAATTTTGATTGGGGTGTGTAAAGAATTAGGGTGCTCAACCAAAAAATTAGAATGTATTAAAGCTATCCAATATTGTTGATGGTTATTTATACTTTTTACATGAGTATAGACACTTATGAACCACAATTATTTCCTAGTTCCATACACCAATGCCACATAAAATCTTGATTTTAACAAAAGTATTCTTAAAATAAAAAAGAAAAAATATCATTTTTAAGTGGAATGTAGAAAAAAATATATCTTCTTAATGAAAAACTTTATACCATTAACAGATGGTTTTATAAACTTTTTTTCATGAAATTATTATTATTTTTACAAAAGACCATTGACATGTTATTTCCTCAATAAAAAATAAAAAAATTTAGGTTGACAAAATTCGATTACTATTTTTTTTTTAAAAATAATTTCATTTGAGAGACTTTCGATCTTGAATGGCCTAGAAGTTCTAAAAATTTGACAAAATGTATATGAAAAAAATTCAACGAAAACCATTTGACAAGACAAAATGTGATTTGTTTGTGAATCTCTCCGAATTTCTTTCCAACTAAGTTATCCATTTCATACAAAAACGAAAAGGACACACACAGACCGTCCTCCTTTTTCTTTGCGCTACTTTTTTTTTCTTTCCGCTCCTACTTCGCCAAACAGACACGTTAAAAGTTTTATTCAAAGTTAAACAAATTCTAAACAATACACACACCTCTCTCTCTCTCTCTCGCTCTCTGTTTGTAAGTCCATATAGATATATTCTATACACTTTCTCTCTCTAGACTCCGTTGTGGGCGTGGCGTTGTTGATAGGTAAGTCTTCGAAGATCCCAAATTGTTCTTCCTGTCAATTCTTTCTCTCTCATTCTTCAATTGTTGATCATTATCTCAACTGGGTTTTCAGGTTCGTCCCCTACAATTGTAGGGTGTTCTATGGAAATGATCATAGTTCGGGGAATCATTTGATCTTTGTCTAACTTTTTTTTTTTTTTTTTTGACCTTTAATTCTTGTGGAATTGTTGGGTTTCCTTGATTATTCTATTTAATTTTGTTTTCTCAATCGATAGTTCTTGTGGGTTTTTGGGTTGCATTCATGAATTGGAGTTCTTTTCCATGTCAATTACAATTCTGATAAGGTGTTTTAATTTTGGTGTCAGAATTTTTTTTGTGAGCTTGTTGTTTTCCTCATTTTATTATGAATGAATGAGCATGTAGTTATACATTGACAATAAATCTACGGACACAGAGTCAATCACAAAATCAACCACAAAAAACATAGGTAGAACAATCTGTGTGAAACTGTAATTTTTTATTTATTTATGATGAGCCCCAACAATATGTTATATGTATGGTGAAGATTGTTTTTTGTGGTTGGTTCTGTGTTCGCGTGGACTTGTTGATCCAATTATGTCATTGTGTTTGTTTCTCTATGTTCATTTTTTTTTTTTTTAAATTTTAAATTTTAAATTATTGTTGTGGGATTGATGATGGATTGATTTCACTGGCGGTTTTGTGGTGCCTAGGAAGATCACAGGTGGGTGGCTTGGGAGAAGGTGTAGACAGTGGACTGACATGGCTAATAACGCTGCATCATGTGTCGAGAGGGCAACGAGTGACATGCTGATTGGTACAGACTGGGCTATAAATATCGAGCTATGTGATATAATAAACAGGGATCCTGGGTATCATTTCTTTTACTTTAACCAATTATTTGATGCCTTTTGTTGTATGTTTATCAGTGGCTTTAATTTTGTTAAGTTGGACAACACATATAATAGCTACAATCACCTTGTTGGTGGGCTAAGGTTTGAATTGCTTACGGTTTTAGGACTTTTGAAGGAAGAAGGGAGGTGTGATGGTCTGTAGATGGAACAGTGTCAGAATTGATGAGAATTTGATGGCAATAAGTTGTAAGAGTTACTAGGAAAAAGATTTCCTGGAAATGAACAAAGTGCCATCAATTTCTGTCAGTTTAATTCGTTGAAGTTGAATCCCAACTTGCTCTTATCTTGATCTGATAGTCTAGAACAATGGACCTCCCCATGTAAACTCTTGAAAACAACCTAAGAAGCTCCTAGAAGTGGGACTGATTAATATGGAAATCTAATAGTTATCCAAACAAAATTAATATGGCAATCTAATGGGATTGGCACATCCAAAAACAACAAAGATTGAAATAAGTATAATGGTCAAATGTCCCATGAAAAAATTGTTTTTGGATGCAAAGCAGGAAAACAGAATATCTTAGTTAAGAAATTCTCTAGCATAAGATATTTCTAGTTAGGTGATACTTCTTAAAATGTAAATGGGCCATAACTGATCCCTATCAAGAATAAGACTAAATACTTGATTGATGCTAAGTGCAGCTAATGTTTAGAATGACCGATATACTTACATCTGAGATGCCAAAAACTTGTACAGTTAAGAAAATCATGACTCAAAAGGTTAATAATGCACTTTGCAGTGATAAAAAGGCCTCTTGATTATCCTGAACTGAAAGGTTAGTGTTGGCCTTCCAAAAGAATGTCTTCCCTAACCAAGCTATGGCTGCTAGATCAGATGGTTAATCAACTTTTGTAACTTGCAACATTATGCTGTTGGACAGCATCAACCATTAGTTCCCCTGTAACTCCCAGAGTTTGGGCTTGCTAGAAGTCATTTTATTAGTATGCTTTTTTCCTCTGTTATTAAGGTTATAAAATGCTATATTCCTGCATCCTATCAAGCACAGACACCTCTCCGGAGCTCGCATACAGGTGTCTGACACGTGTCGGACACGGACACGCGCTGGACACGCTTCGGACATGTGTCGGACACGCTCGGACACTTTGGACATGTAAGGGACACGTTGAGAACACGTGGAGGATACGTTGAGGGCATGCTAAGGACACGCTGGGGACACTCTAGGGGCTCTATAGGGACATGCAGAGTACTATTTTTTTCAAAAAAATTTATAATTTATAATTTTTTTTACTAAAATAGCATGCCTAAGGTTGATAAATTTAGTAACATTAAATATTTGACATAAAATATGTATTAAATATTTAAAAATATACATATAATAAAAATATAAAAATATATATTTTGAACATGTCCCCAACGTGTCGTGTCCTGCATTTTTTGAAAATTTATGTGTTCGCGTGTCCGTGTCGTGTCATGTGTCTGTGTCCATGCTTCGTAGTCTACATCTCAGTATTACAATATGTAATAAGTTGCTTCTTGCTTTGATAATTGTTCCAAATATATTGAGCATTTGCTGCCACTGCTATGAATCACCTGTACTGCTCATCAAGAAATCGCACCTCAAGATTCTGCTAGCTCCATTGCCTTTTAGAATTGGGAGTTTTCCTGACTCAAGCAGACCGGGATTAAAAAATTTATGATGCACTGAATTCTTTTCATGAGAAAGATAAGATTTTGGGATTATCAAGTGTTTGTTTGTTCTGAATGATACAGCTAAGATGTTAATTTTGTGGGTGTTAGTCCATTTCTTCTTTTTTCAGAACAAGATGTATGCTTCTTAAATTTTGGATATCGTAAATTTGCTTGTCTATTTTGTTTCCTCTTCAATCCTTTTACCATTTATGTAACAATGGCGCTAAATATGGTTCTACTATCTTCTTGCTGTTGGATTGGATGGGATTGAAATTACAGGCAAGCAAAGGATGCCTTGAAGCTACTCAAGAAGCGTCTGGGGAGCAAAAATCCTAAAATACAGCTGCTTGCTCTTTTTGTCAGTATTCTCTTCTATTATATTTTTCTGAAAATGGCCTTTGTCATTGTTCATGTTCAACATGCTCTATTTTACTGGCAATCAATTGGCCTGATTTGTTATAGCAATAGGTATTTTACTTCATTATATTCAATGGGTAAAATTTATCTGGTAGAGGCGCAAAGGGGGCCACATCCCATGATCATGACATATACATATATCAACACAAATAAATCTGAACAAAAGACAAATCTAATTGTCATTACCTGCAACCCAAAAAAAAAAAAAAAAGGATAAAGATTTTGACTAAAAACAAAAAAAAAGGGTGCTCATGATTGACGATTCTAGATGCACCTGGCGATTTTCTTCCCAAGTGTCAAGGATACTTGAGGGCATAGTGGCATTTACACAGTTTGCCCTTGTCTTGGATTTTGGCATTTATGAGTTATTACTCTTTAAGCAGGGGTAGCATTTGCTATTGCCATATTGGTGATGGTTCAAAATGCTATCATATGGAAGAGTCAGAGTGGTGACTCTAGCATTCCTTGGTGCCATGTTTATGTGCATGCGCCAAGTACTTTCTGTATGATTGAATGAGGACATGGTGTCCAACTGTAGACATCCACATCCAGGGACGAAGCTAAGATTTCATCTTGGCAGCCAAAAAATGTCTATAAAAAAATTACAACTTGTAATACAAGTTGTATTTGGTGTAGGAAAATAAAAAATAACACCCATTCAGTCTTTAATTAAAATATGCATTAAAATACCACCAAAAAATTGCCATCTCTTTGAAGATGATTGATTTTTATTATTTCCTTGGTATGGTATATGGACCAAGTTGAGATGGCTTAGTCCAGGTTTCAATCTAGAACTTAAGTATATTCTGTGAAGATGATTCATTGATCGGCGACTTGTATATTTTTGCCAATTGACACTGATTTCTATTTGATTTCCTAACGACCAAATTGGCTTAGGCCATAGACAAAATTATAATTGTAAATCATAATCCCAACCACCTCCCCTCCTTGTGTTGGTTTTTTTTTTGACTTCTCATGATTTGAGTTATTCTGTGGCCACTTACTGTATGCATTCTTATGTTGCTACGTTTTAGGTGGGCTATTGGCCTACAACACTTTTTTATTCTGGTATTTTCTAAATTCAGGTACTAGATACACTCGGTAAAAACTGTGGGGAGAATATTTTCCAGCAAATTGTTGAGCGGGATATCTTACATGAGATGGTCAAAATTGTAAAGAAGAAGGTGCCAATTATCTTTTTTCTTATCATATCTTGTGTTTCTTTTCTCTGTTCAGGTACTAACATTTTATCTACTCTATCCTTGTAATTACTTCTGCAGCCTGATTTAAATGTGAGGGAGAAGATATTAATTTCGATAGATACATGGCAAGAAGCATTGGGAGGACCTCGGGGAAGGCATCCACAGTATTATGCGGCATTTAATGAACTGAAGGTGATTATGGGTTTGTGATTTTGAGTCTAAAACCTTTTAAATACCTTATGTTATTTGATGATGTTACAAAATTGTCCTCTAAAAGTATTACTCGGATTACGTGAAATCAGTTTAAATTTAGTGCTAACTGCATGTCAAATTTGAATTCATAATTGGCCAAATTTGGTGGAAACTCGGATCTCACATTGATCCATCAATGGCATTAAGCTAAAGGTAGAAATGGAAGGATTTTGTCACAAGAGAACTGCAGGATGTCAATGTGTCAACCCTCTATTACTTACGCAGGATATCAATGTGTGGTATTTTAATCATCAAGATTTTTACAGTCACTGACTTTTTGTTGGTCAAAACCTTGATCCTTCCAGGATGCTATTTCATGTTTGAAATTTATGTTTTTAGTTCTTCTGTGCAATTGATTAAATTCAATCAGTTGGCTATTATGTTGTAATTCTCAGGCTGCTGGAGTAGAATTTCCTCCCAGAGAGGAAAACAGTGTACCATTATTCACACCTCCACAAAACCAGCCAGTAAGTCACCCTGCTTCAGCATACGAGGAAGGTGCTATTCAGGCCTCTCTTCAGTCTGATGCTTCTGAACTCAGGTATTACTTGAAGTTGAATTCCATATCCCATTGTATTTGTTTCCTGTGCTGCAAGATATACTGTTGTACTTGGTCGTGGATTTCTTTGGCTTCCATTTTTGTTTCCCTTTACAAATCCCATTATAGGATGCATGCGCGGTCTTAAAAAAGATAATAATTTTATTTTAAAATTATATTAATGAAAAAAAGGGGTGACCATTGGTTCAATGGTTAAGACTTGACCTAATAACCTTGAGGTTATGGGTTCAAGTCTTGGGACCACCACTTTGTGTATTATGCCAAAGGTTAGGTGTGGACTCAATCTTTACCCTCCCAAACACACATTAACGTGTACTAAGTGGGCGTTGTTTTTATTAATGAAAAAAAATTAAAATGTAGCAGAAAAATGGATTGGAATCAAGTAAATTTTGACTAATTTTATTTGTGCTACATTTAAGTGGTTTTTAATGCATCCATAAATGTGATATTCAAAGTATTAAACAACCAATTGGGTGTAACCTAGTTGACCACCCACGGTTTTACCAATTGCGAGGTCATGAAGTGTCATGTCTCTTCCTTTGGAGGTTTCGTTACCCCGATATTTTGGGCATCTCTTTCACTTTGGGTATTTATCATAATAGTGATACATTGTGTTCAATTCTTTATTCTGACAACAATTGATTCTAGTTGTATTTGATTCTTCAATTTAATTGGCTCTTTCTTTATTCACCATGTAATACAACGTTATCTTTGATTTATTAAAAAAAGAAAAAAAAAAAATACAGCCTTTTCTCTAGGTGTTCTGTTGGGTTTTGCACCAAAATTCTTCTTACATATAGATTAGTCGAGCAGTAGTACTTGATTTGTCTGATCATATGCTTTTCTTTTTGTTCATTTCCACTCATTTTTGTTTTCTTCTGCATAGAATGCATTTCTATGGATTCTAAAATTTGTTTCTGTTGCAGCATGGCGGAGATTCATACTGCTCAGGGTCTAGCAGATGTTTTAATGGAAATGCTTGGTGCCTTGGATCCTCAGAATCGTGAGGTCATTACCTTTTCCCCCCAAAAATCCTTTTCTTGTAGGAAATTTAACTCCCCCGTGGTGCACTTGAATGAAACTCCTTGCCGAGGGCCTATGCACCCCTGGGGATTAGTTGGACTTTGATCCAGATACCCCAATGCCAATAAAAAAATAAATAAACCATTTATTTCTGGAATGGGTTTCTTTTTTTTTTTTTTTTTCTTTTTCCCAAGTTGTTTCTTGTACTCTGTAAACTGTTACCTTTATAATTTTTTCAGTTCTAAACAAATATTTTGGATAAATTGGACGATACCACAGTAGAAAACATATCCTTTTTGTGTGGTACTTTGCATTTCTTGCCTCTGCTTAATATTGTTATATTGCCAAATTCATCTTCTTTATTGAGGATGTCCTTTTTCTTTGGGTGATTTTGTTGACTTTTGGGTGGGAGTTGTACATTCCTATAGATATATAAGTAGTGATGCATTTTGTTTTTCTTGTATAACCTGCATTTAAGGTTGCATAAAGAAAAAAAAATAGACCTGTATTTAAGGTTGCATAAAGAAAAAAAAAAAAATAGACGCTGTCATCATTAAAGCGAAATGTCATAAGAAAGAATTTGTTGATGGAGGAAGAATTTTTAAGGGAAGTTATTAGAAGAAAAAAAGTTATTTTCCTTAAAAGAATGAGGGATCAAAGAATATAAAAAAAATTAATAGAATTTGATAGAAAAGCATATGCCTATTCGTACTATTGCAGAAAAGGTCTTGAATGCAATGTAGTCCCTATATCATAGGATGTCATTACTCAACAGATTGATGATCTTTCATCCAATTGAAATAATTATGAGATTTGTAGGTGATTATATTTCAGAGTTCTTAATTCAATTTAGACGCTTCATAAACATTTTCATCTGTTTTTATTTTTATTTTTTTGAATTATTACTTTTTAGCTTTTCAATAGAAGTAAAAACCAAGCGTCAATTTTCATCTTTGTCAGTATTTTTATATTATTCTGGTTAATATGGCAGGGAGTACAGCAAGAGGTGATTGTTGACCTTGTTGAGCAGTGCCGCTCTTACCAAAAGCGTGTCATGGTTCTTGTGAACAATACTGCGTATGTATACATAAATGTTGATAAGTGAGGATATGGTCATCATTTTTGTATTTTTTTTATCATTTTAAACTGACAATTGACTCTGGTGGTTGCTTCACTTTAGGGATGAAGAGCTTCTATGCATGGGATTGGCTTTGAATGATGAGCTTCAGCATGTTCTTCGCTGCCATGACAATGTAGCAAAAGGAACCACTGCTGTTGCAGTAGGAACAGCAGAAAATTCAGTTGCACCTGTTGTGAATGTGAATCATGAGGATGAAGAGTCCGATGATGATTTTTCCCAGCTAGCACACAGGTGAGTTTTTCTGTCAATGCTTTTTAGTCCTATATTGGACCACCTGCCTACAGTAAAATATGAAGTTATGTGACTGCCTAGGAAATATTTAGACATGAAATAACTGCCAAAATTGACATCTGCCTCGTTGTTTATGTTTCACAGCGTGACTGTACCATACTATTCCACATTTTCAGTCTTCTACGTCAAACATTTTGTGCTTGTTTTGCACACTGACACCCACACTTCTCTTTTCATGTTACCGTCTTTTCCATATTTTTTTGATTTGTTGAATTGTTTGGTGGAAACTACAGAGTGGTTGTCAAAATTTGAACTTTTTGCTACATCGTGGTCGTTAAACATTTTGTACATCTTCCCTTTCCAAACCCTTTCTTTAGTGGGAGTCTCATTGACCGTGTAGACTTTTTATTATCATTATTATTTTTATCTAGAAAAATGGTCATTTGAAGTGTTTCATCTTATTTCAGATGTTCTCTAGATTAACTGTTGTTCTAGTGTCTGTTCAGAATGGGAACCATTTATATGATAGAAATTTTGAAAAATGTTGCAAGCAAAGCATCTTGGTTCGTGGGACATAAAACACAATAAACACACAGGGAAAATATTTTTGTAGCCTGTTTAATGTTGAATTGTAAGTGTACTTAAGATCATATGTACTCCCTACAATGAGCTAGAAGCACATTCATTAATGGGCCTTTTAACCTTTGTATATATATATATATTTAAAAAATATATATAATTAAAAACATAGTTAGCAATGTTTTTTATTTGAATGTAAACACTTGTGGGAAAAATTGGATGCAAAAAAGTAGTTCAAATAACGTTGTTAACGTAAACACTTGTGGGAAAAATTGGATGCAAAAAAGTAGTTCAAATAATGTTGTGTTAACATGGTTAGAAACCACGATATCATAAAAACGTGATTTTTAACCACGTTTTATCGTAGTTTGAGAAATAATTGTTGTGGCTGTACACTATTTGTTTAAATAAGGAATAAAAACATGTATTCATAGAAATGAGCCTTCTTCGCTAATGGTATGGTCTGTTTCACATACGAACTTCCTTGGTATTAGCAACAATTCTATATGGTCATAGAAACAATCATTGTTCAAATTTTAAACCCTTTTAACAGGTTCTGCATTTACCAGTATACATAGTCTTACGCTTCTAGAATTTTTTTTCTGTTTCTTTGTATTGCAATGTATTTTATTAAAATGCTAGTATCAAGTTTATTTAATCATATCATTGCAGGTCATTAAGGGACACTTTGCAGGGAAGAAGACTGAAACCAGCCAATCCTAACAACGAACCTGTGCGAATCAACCCAATTCTTCCTCCCCCACCCTCATTCAAAAAGTCGACCTCAGATGCCGGGATGGTCGACTATCTAAGTGGTGATGCTTATAATGCTGAAAGATCTTTCCCGAATCATTCAAACAACACAAATTCTGTCCTACCGTTGTCAGCTCCAACACTATCTTCATCCTCTCCTCCCCCTGATTTCATAAACCCGACTGCGCCAATGTTCACTGGGCATTCCACTTACGATCAACGATCTCCAACGACCAAATCATCCGATCGTTCACCACTAACTCCTCGTGACGTTCAGTCTCCTCTCTTGATTCCACCCCCACCTTCCAAGTACAACCAGAGACAACAGTTCTTCGAGCAACACCAAGCTTTGTCAGGCAGTGCTTCTCCTTCGAGGCAGATCCGGTTCCTCTCCGATGGCTTAGTTGGGCCGACCGTCATCTCTCTCTTAACCCTTCTACCCCCACTAAACAAGAGACGCAGGAAGATGCACTTTTCAGAGATCTGGTTGATTTTGCAAAAGCCAGGTCATCTTCGTCTTCAAAACCCAATGGGTCATTTTGAGTGGATGTGTAATTAGTATGGAGTATATTTGTTGTGGGTATAGTTTTTTTGAGTATTGTTGGTTTCATTAGTTTTATACCGTGAAGACTCGCCAAATAAATGTTGGTGGGAACTAGGGTTCTGACTTTTACAGGTTAGATTTTAAGAGTTGGGAACTTGGGTTTCCCTTCCACCATTGGCTTCTGGTGTAGAGGATATGAACTGCTTATTGGATTTATATGTAAGAGTTTGTGAATGTATGTATATTCTGTTTGATTCTGAATTGGTTTTTGGCTCTACTGTTTCTGTTTCTGTTTCTGCTTCTGCTTCTGCTTCTGTTAGTGTGGAATTGTTTCCCTTTTTTTGTTTGTTTTGGTTGGTGAATTTCTGGGTGGAGGATAGTTGTCAATCTCATTCAGTCCAGTTTTGGGTAGGGGCGTAAACGTTTCGGTTTGTTTGGTTTTTATGAAGAATTTGGCACCAAAACGATTTTCTCTTTTTGCAAATAGCAAATTAGCAAGAACTGAAATAAACCAGTTTAATAATTAGTACTCAATTTTTGTGTTCAAATATTGCTGCAGAATAAACCGATTGAATTATGAAATAAACCGATTTTTGTGTTCAATTTTTGTGATTGAATTATGTTCAAATTGCTGCAGAATTGGAAATTGGATTTGAAACCAACCAAAACCGCAACAAACGGTTGTTTTATGAAAAACCAACCAAAACCAGCTGGTTTGGTTTATACTTATTCTGTATTTTTTTGGTCAAATCTATAGAAATAATAATAAAAAAAAAACACCTCAAGTTTTAGGAATTTTTCGACTCTGCAGTTTTGGATTATGCTGGCTTATTCTAATTCCTGCATTCAGTAGAGTTTTGTATGTTCAGTTAAGGGATTTAAAAAATTAATTATACATTATGCGACATTTTTATTTATTTATTTATTAATTATTATTATTATTATTGCGTGGTGCATAGTGGATTATTAATTAAATATTAATGATGCATTTGAATTTTGAATTCGTGTGAAAATTTTATGGAGCAAATTGAAAAGGTGAATGAAATAAAGTTAAATTTTGTTACACTTTCGTTTTTATTTATTTATTTTATATTTTTTAGGTTGGGCCATTTGACAAGTAGGTCTCTTTGTTGGGCTTTTAGACAACGAGTAGAATTTGGGTCTCGTGTTTTTTAGTTGTTTGTTCTAATTTTCTGCATGCACCATTATTATAGTTGTGTCTCGTTCACATTCAGCTTGTTTGATGTAATTTTAAAAAATTAAAAATTATTTAAAAAAGTTAAAAAAAATCAATTTTTGCATTTTTTAATAATTAATTTTTTTATTCAATTTATTTAACTTATTTTTACCTATAAGCTGTTATCAAAAATTACACCAAGCATTTTGATACAAATTTCTAAAACATATATATACCGCAAAATTAATAAAAAAAAGTTAAAACTGAATAAAAATAAGTTAAATAAATTGAATAAAAATTAATTATTAAAAAATACGAAAAATGATGTTTTTAGCTTTTATTTAATAATTGTTAATTTTCAATTTTAAAAAAATTACAGTGAGAATTTTTTGAGTGTGGATGCCACGTGCACCTTCTTTTGTATATGATTGGCTTGATTGTGAGATTCATTATGTGTTTGGAAAATAACATGGAACATTTATACATTTATGATTATTAGAAAGTATTATGATAATGTCACATGATATCATTCTATTATACAATAATTTTTTACAAATGACACAAAAATATAATAGGTAAAATTGGATATATTCTGAAAACACATATTAAAAAATATTTAAAAATTATATATTTTTTATTACAAACATACAATCTTCTAAAATTATTATAGAAAGCAATGAGTAAAAATAAAAACGGTAAACTATACTTCTTATTCTTCTTAAATTTTCTTCGGATTTTCACTTTAGTCTTTTATTTTTTAATTATAATAATTAAGTTATTAGGTTTTAACTTGTGTTTTAATGTAATTTTTCAGTTACTTATATTTAAAAGTGAGGAGAATTATATCTCAGAAATTCTTTTTTTATACAAATATAGAGGGTTGCACCCCACTACAGCTACAGAATAACTTGCACCCTAAATATTTTTGTAATTGTTTTTTATCCCACTGTGCTGGATAGTTGTCAATCTCATTCAGTCCAGTTTTGGGTAGGGGCGTAAACGTTTCGGTTTGTTTGGTTTTTATGAAGAATTTGGCACCAAAACAATTTTCTCTTTTTGCAAATAGTAAATTAGCAAGAACTGAAATAAACCAGTTTAATAATTAGTACTCAATTTTTGTGTTCAAAAATTGCTGCAGAATAAACCGACTGAATTATGAAATAAACCGATTTTTGTGTTCAATTTTTGTGATTGAATTATGTTCAAATTGCTGCAGAATTGGAAATTTGATTTGAAACAAACCAAAACCGCAACAAACGGTTGTTTTATGAAAAACCAACCAAAACCAGCTGGTTTGGTTTATACGATTTATTCTGTATTTTTTTGGTCAAATCTATAGAAATAATAATAAAAAAAACATCTCAAGTTTTAGGAATTTTTCGACTGCGCAATTTTGGATTATGCTGGCTTATTCTAATTCCTGCATTCAGTAGAGTTTTGTATATTCAGTTAAGGGATTTAAAAAATTAATTATATATTATGCGACATATTTATTTATTTATTTATTTATTAATTATTATTATTATTATTATTGCGTGGTGCATAGTGGATTATTAATTAAATATTAAGGGAAATTTTTTTTCAGGTCCCTGGTATTTAGACTTTACAGTATAAAGGATACTCAATATTTTCATAATGTCTAAGTTCCCTCAAGTTGATCCAGAGAAAATTGATCTAGAGAAAATTGGTCCAGAGAAAATTTCTCAATATTTTCATAATTTCTTCACCTGTTTGAATTTGCAGCGTTACCACCATGGGTTTGTTTACATGGTCCAGAGAAATTCTTTGGTTTAGACTGAATTTTCTTTGGTCTGAACTGAATTTTCTCTAGACTTTCTCTGGGTTGGTCCAGAGAATTTCTCTGCTTTGGTTGGTCTGAATTTTTTCTGGGTTGTTGGACTGAAATTTGAGAAGCTGATGCATACTTACCTTGATTGAATTACCTATGAGATTTGTGATGATTTGCCGAAATCTACTTGGATCTCCATAATACTGAAATTCTTGAATAGGAAAAATTCAGTTTAAAAACCAAAGAATTTCTCTGGACCAACCCAGAGAAAATTCAGTTTAAAAACCAGAGAATTTATCTGGTTTCAACCCAGAGAAAATTCAGCACGCAATGTACTAATCTTTTTTGACCCGTATTGGAACAACTTGAAAGAAGTTTTATTTTTTCCTTTTGTTATTTATTTGTTTAGTTTATGATATTTGAGATCAAACTCTAAGGTGCAGAAATTTCAAATTTGAGGTTGCAGAATTTGTGTTTTGCCATTACTTTTCCATTCTTAGTTAGAATTTATGCCAAAAAGAGTTTATATACATGTCTCAGTGACCATACATATTTGTTTGGTCAATCCAAACCACAGAATTTCTCTGGATCAACCCAGAGAAATTTCAGTTCAAGCCAGAGAGTTGAACCCAGAGAAATTCTGAATTTTCTCTAAAACTATAAAACTCTGATTTGATCAATTTGTCAATCGAAAAACCTGGGGGGACTCTTTCTTGAAAGTGATGAGGAAGGCGAAGATGGCAGTAAAGAAAGGAGTGGTGGAGCCAATGGCTTGGTTGAAGGAGACAGGTAGGTAGTGAAGAGAGATGTTGTCGGAGACGACGAAGAAGCAAAAAATGGCAGGGTGAGCTTGGGAGAAAAAAACGTCAAAGCTAGTTATGCTTCTCACAAGTGCCTATGTGTTGCTTATGAGAATCTCAGGGCTCCTCAGGAAGAGTTCATCAAGAATCGAAACAGTATTATAGAACATCAATATGATTCGGAGCAGTTGAAGACCAGAGAGAATGAGGAAGACAATAGATCTGTGATTGAAACCCTAAGGTAATAGACATATATATATATATATATATATTAGGGAAGTGGTGATAGAACCCATACAACAAGCACAAAGTCTTGTTTTCTGTTGTTTACTAGCGTTAGGGATGGTGATAGTCAAATTTCTCTGATATATGTTTAGGGACCTTAGACATCAAAAAATAATTTTATAGATTTCTTCCATTACGAAAAGTGGGGGAGGGACCCTAGACTAATTTTTCTAAATATTAATGATGCATTTGAATTTTGAATTCGTGTGAAAATTTTATGGAGCAAATTGAAAAGGTGAATGAAATAAATTAAATTTTGTTGCACTTTCGTTTTTATTTATTTATTTTATATTTTTTATGTTGGGCCATTTGACAAGTAGGTCTTTTTGTTGGGCTTTTAGACAACGCGTAGAATTTGGGTCTCGTGTTTTTTAGTTGTTTGTTATAATTTTCTGCATGCACCATTATTATAGTTGTGTCTCGTTCACATTCAGCTTGTTTGATGTAATTTTAAAAAATTAAAAATTAAAAATTATTAAATAAAAGTTAAAAAAAATCACTTTTTGCGTTTTTTAATAATTAATTTTTTAAACTTATTTTTACCTATAAGCTGTTATAAAAAATTACACCAAGCATTTTGATACAAATTTGTAAAACATATACCACAAAATTAAATAAAAAAATAATAAATTGAATAAGTTAAAACTGAATAAAAATAAGTTAAATAAATTGAATAAAAAACACGAAAAATGATGTTTTTAGCTTTTGTTTAATAATTATTAATTTTCAATTTTAAAAAAATTACAGTGAGAATTTTTTGAGTGTGGATGCCACGTGCACCTTCTTTTGTATATGATTGGCTTGATTGTGAGATTCATTATGTGTTTGGAAAATAACATGGAACATTTATACATTTATGATTATTAGAAAGTATTATGATAATGTCACATGATATCATTCTATTATACAATAATTTTTTACAAATGACACAAATATAATAGGTAAAATTGGATATATTCTTAAAACACATATTAAAAAATATTTAAAAATTATATATTTTTTATTACAAACATACAATCTTCTAAAATTATTATAGAAAGCAATGAGTAAAAATAAAAACGGTAAACTATACTTCTTATTCTTCTTAAATTTTCTTCGGATTTTCACTTTAGTCTTTTATTTTTTAATTATAATAATTAAGTTATTAGGTTTTAACTTGTGTTTTAATGTAATTTTTCAGTTACTTATATTTAAAAGTGAGGAGAATTATATCTCAGAAATTCTTT